TTAATTGCACAGCTTTCTTTGCTGACTTTGCTTGTGTTTTGTGATGTTCAGTAGAGGCTGTCCTTGGGCGCTGCTTTGAGCTCCATAGTAACTCAGATTTCTTTTAATCCGCACTGCAATGGAGCTCTTATTTCCTCTGCTGTAAAATATAAGACCATCTGTTGAGTCTGGGCTGTTATTATTTTTATCATCACTGGGACTAGACTGGACCCCATTCATGCTCTGTTGATAAATCTAGCCTGTCAGCCCTCAGAACAAAGGAGTTTTGTTTTAGCTCTCCTATCTTATGTCACAGCAGTTGATCATTTCTCACTCAAATTCTTACAGTTCATGAGTTACTTGTATGAAGGCTCTCCCTGGCCTGCCCTCCACCCTGCCCATCCGTGGGCCAAAAGCAAGTCGAGGGGTTCTTCTGCCTCCAGACTGCATTCCACAGGTGTTCACCTCGGCACAGCCGTATCCACAGCCATCACTCAAGTCCACGTCACAGACATCTCATCCCTGAGCCGCTGTAGTGTCTTCTGCATTACTCTTACCACTCTCCTAACACACTCTTCATGCAGCGGCCAGAATATCTTCTTGTTTTACTTTTCAATGAAGACTTTTTTTTTTCTGTCTGTGCTTGTTGGCATTCCCAGGTTAGCTTCCCCAGTACACAGTCTGGCATGTTTGAGGCAAAAAAAAAAAAAAACAAACCAAAAACCAAAAAACAAAAACCTGGAAACTCCCTGCTGGGTCTTTCCTTAGACCCCAAGGGCCCTAACCTGTCTGTCTTCTCTCCAGCATTCAGAGTCTTCTCCTGTTTGCTTTATATGTAATGTCTAGGGTTTTAAGCTGTACTGAGCAAGAGGAATAGGGAAAACTGCATCTTCTCCACCTGATCTGGACCTGAAAGTCCAGAATATTATTTAAAAACATAAATCACCTTGTATGACTGTCCCCAGTTTAAGCCATACAGTGGCTCCCTGTTGATCTTGGTAGGCAGTGCAAACAGATGTTAGTCACCTACAAGACCCAAGATGATGGAATCTGGTCCCATCCCTTCAACTGTTACCTTGTAGCAGTTGGTTGTTGTTGTATTCAGTTGGCCTCTTATTTCCCTGCAAAGACTCCTTTCTCTCTCACCACCTTACAACCTGTTCGTTGTCTCCAACATTTGTACTTCTCTGCTTGGCTCCATCTCAGCCTTCATTTTAAATGCCCCTACCTAATACTATTCCTTTACTTTCCTTACGTTTGGATTTTCTTCACAATTGATATAAATCTGATTTTTCAGTCATTACTTTTTCTAGTTAGTCTGTGTGAATAGGATTACAACACAGCCATTGATCTTTGCAAGATGCGTTTAACCAATACCTCATGGGAAGGACGCCAGTGTATGCAAATCAACTGACACCCAAAAAGTCCCTAAATGATAGAACACTGTGTCATCACAGGCACAGCTGCTGGTCTTCACTTGCTTATGTTTGATTCACTGATTGATGTAACTCGTATTTACCAAGTACCCTTTAGGCATCAGTCACTAGGTGTTGGGGAGACAGCTATGAACAAAATAGAAGTCCCAGCTCTGGTGGAGTGTACATTCTGATGAAGGAAGAAAACCTATAAATAAATATGAAAGAAATGTGCAGCATGCCATGTGATGAGTATAAAAAGGAAAACAGGGTAAGGGAAGAGGAAGAGGTTGGAGCATGCAGATGTAACAAGGTGACATTTGAACGGGGACCTAAATGAAATCAGGGTCAAGCTATGTATATACCTAGGAGAAACAGAGGGAATAGTGTGGACAAATGTTCTGAAACTGAAGTGTATGTGTGATTTCTGAGGGACAACAGGATACTAGTGTGGCTGGAGCTTAGGTAGGGAGGAGCAGGGCTAGGAGATGACATCGGAGGAGAAGCCCACATAATAAGACCATTGATGGAGGTCGTTGGCCAACTTAGACAATGATGAACAGCCTTTGCTTTTCACACATGGCCACCCTTACTACTGGCTAAGATACTACCCGTTGGAACATGGCGACAGTACCACCAAGAGAAGGAAGTTGTATGGTGAGATTTGATTCAAAACATTCCTGATAGCCTTAAGTTCTAGTAAGAACACTACATACATGACACTTACCAGGCCTGATTTCCCTAGTTGACTCCACAAAGGCAGCGAGAAAGAAGAGAAAGTAAGATAATTAGGATGAGTTCTAAAAAAGTAATTAGAAATAGTTATGAAGGGAAATGAACTAAGCATTTCAAAGTTATTTAAAATTCCAAACTCACAGTTGTTTAATTGCTGTCCTATATTGCGGTATGACCCGTGTAAGCAACTGAATCAAATTCTGTGGATAAGTGAAAAAAAAAAAAAAGGAAAATCAAAGTAGTCTAGAAATACTGAATGGAAATTCAATGCATGTAATCTTTTATTTTTTAATTGAAACTTGAAAACTGTACTTAGCACGTGTATGTGCAGTATTGCATTTCGTTTGGTAGATAACGGGATAAGAACTCAATGCCAAGTCTAATACTGCAAAGAGTGTACATTAGAATCTTGGACAGGAGGTGCAAAAGGAAAGAAGTGGCCAGTTCCTCGCTGGTGTTCTCCTCATTTTCATTCATCCATCCATGTTCATAATGAAGACCTTTAAGCTGACATTGACTGTGTCTGATTGAAACAGAAAACAAAGGTTTCATTCACAGTCTTCCTGACTGTACTCCCTTCCTGAAATCAAAAGTAAAGAGAGCCACTTTCTAGAGGTCTTCAGTAAACATGGTTATTCTCAGAACGGAACTATTTCCTTTTCCTCTTTTACTATCTACTTCTGGCCTAATAACCTGGGATTAATGTTCCATCTTCTTTGTCATTACGTGCACCAAACCACAAAGTAGGTACAGAAAAATGCAAATTATACAGTGCTTTAAAATATTATGTCCCATTTTGTAATTATTATAATCATGTACTAGACCATGCTCACCATAATAAACCACTGGAGAGCTTTCATTCCACCCTGTTCTCTTTCATTCATAACCCTTCACATTGATGAGTCCCTTTATTTGGAATGTCTTCCTTCCCCACCCAGTTCCCACTTTGCCTGACTAACTCCCATTCATCTTTCCGAACGGAGGTTTTAAGTGACTTCTTCCTGTAAACCTTCCCTAATCATCCTTTCTGGGTAGATAATTCTTTGCACTTTAGCTCTCTGTATATCTATATTACAGAATTTAACACATTAATATAATCTTAATTTTTCTTATATCCACAATATATAACACAATGCCAGGAACATGGCTAGGCACTCTAAATATTTGTTGAATAATTGAATGAACACAACCCCAAAACAAACATTCTGTTATTTATATATAACAGTGACAAAATTGTAGTGAATTCTAAGGTCATGAAGGTATTTATTGCTTAGAATTCCTTTTTATTTATGTATGATGTATTTATTTATTTTTCAGTTTTATTAGGTAGAATTGTTACAGTTTGACTGCACATATACAATATATTGCATGTAAATACATATACACAATATACTGCACATGTTTTTTAAATTCACGTATATGTACTGTTCATTGTTTCTGAGAACATTTAGAGCTTTAGCTTTTTAAATTTACAAAGTTATCAAAGGAATAAGGCCAGCTACAAAATAAGAATTAATTCAAAAAGATACATACACCCTGCTATTAACAGGAACATTATTTATAATTGCCAAGATACAGAAGCTTCCTAAGTGCACATCAATAGATGAATGGATAAAGAAGATGCAGCATATCTATGTAATGAAATACACTCACCCATAAGAAAGAAGGATATTTTTCCATTTGCAGCCCTTCATTCACTTTTTTTTTCACCTTAGAATTCCTTTTAAAGTAAAGGCATTGCCATGTAATTGTAATTGAAATAAGCCCACATTTATATTTTGCTTAATTATTCTGGTGCTCATTGAGATGACTCTATTCCACTGAAGGACCTCAATGCACAATACATCTTACTTTTTCAGGGTAGTCATTGAGAATCTACAGCAATTTAAAAATTTGAATAAAATTTCTTGATGGAATATATATATATTTTTCACTAAACAATGTCAGTGGACAAAAGTAATCTAAAATTATCTGGTTTTATATAGTAAGCTCTGTATTTTCATTTCTTATCTATTTGAACTCAGTGCTCATTATAATCTGCACAATAAATTGGATGGTTTTATGTCATTTGGTAATGAAAAGAATGGTCTTACCAGAAAAAAGAAAAAAAATTACATATTTTTTCTCTTCTTCAAGATGGAGCAACAATGTTGTAAACACATACTGCAGCAAGCATGACTATGACAATATTAGCTTTCAGCATCACTTTCAAAGATGAAATAGGTTTCCCTAAAAATACTGTTTTTCTAACATCCTTAAAAAGAAATTGAGATGAAATTTTACATAAGATCATTGGGATCCTTAAGAACTTTTCAGAAGCACTCAGTACTGAAACCACTGCCCTCTAGGGATATATTTACATGTATTTTATAACACATACTCTAGTAAAACATTATACTCTTTCGAATTTTGAAGGACTGCCAAATGAACTTGTTTTGCCTTCTAAATTATATATTTGATATTTGGTGGCCTCCCAACGTTATAGTTGAGTTTACCAGAGTGATAATGGCTTTCTTACAAGGCCTCTCAAATCTGAAAATGCTTTAATTTCTTCATAAATCAATGATTCAACTGTATAGAAAATAATCCATTCTCACTGAACCTCATAATTGATAGAAAAATACTAAAATTTGCCACATATGCTAATTATGTTAGAGGAAAGGTTATAAACGGATGCTTAGAGCAATAGCTTAACTTATCCTTCTTACCTTGGTGAATTTTTTTGCATATTGTGATTTTTATTGATTTTAGAATAAGCCTCATTTTTGCAGCTACTTTTATCTGTGTGTACTTGTGCAGAGGGAAATTGAGAATGCTATATCCCAGCAACTATTCAATTACAGCAAGTTTAATTAAAAGTTAAACAATTGCATGTGTTTTGTTCTATTCTCCGGATCACCGTTATTTGTACTTTAAGATGTTAATACCCTTCTTTTTTCCCATATACTAGAATTTATGGTAAAGTTACATGGCTATATTTATGGGGGTTCTTTTGGTTTTTTTGTTGTTTTTGTAAAACCAGTTTGGAGCCATTAACTGTTGCTTCACTACTGGAGGACATTCATTTATTCTACAACGGTTGAAGATAAAAACTATCACAATGAGGTCAATATTGCTAAAAGCTTCTTTTAAAAGTATACACACACACACACACACACACACACAACCTAAACACCTCTAACTGAATAAAAGAAAGTAAACCCATATCCATAGTTTCCCCATATTTATTACTCTTCACTGCAGTTACTTTCACCAAAATTTGGAGACCTTAATCTAGGTCCAGGAAATATTTAAAAAAAACTTTTCCTGTTTTTTAGATACGAATTATAATTCTTCAGGAACCCCAAACTAGCCAAAGGTTGGTGTATTCATCCCACCTCTTTCTGTCCTTGACTTCTCCATCACTCAGAAGTTAGTGATAGATGTATTATGCCACAGAAAGTGGGGTCTTCCTCCTTTGCTTTCTTCGCTGTTGCATTCTACTCCTCTTCGCCTTTAATAATCCGAGTAGAAGGAGGGAGCTGAATAATGAGGGAAAGGTCTTCCTTCCTGAGAGTAATAGAGACTCTTACCTGATGATCATTTATGACAGTGAATCTCAAACTGTAGTCCCCAAGCATCAGTGTCAAGATCCCTAGGGGCTTGTTAGAAATACAAATGTCTAACTGTGAGAAGGGCCCAGCAAACCCATCTTTTAACAAGCCCCCAGGCGCTTGTGAAACACGCAAAAGTTCTAGGACCCCTGATTTAGGGAATAATTACCATGACAATAGCCCATGAGAGAGGGCACAGAGAATTCTATGCTCCTCTTGAAGATCTTCTGCAAATGTGTGGGTTAAATGCAGGAAAATTGACGTCCTGAGGCCCTGTGCCTTTGGATATATTGCAAAGTAAGAACTTTTGTCCCCAAAATGATTATGACTCTGGGACATTTGTGTCACAAGTTACCATATGAGGTTTGAGAACTTCAAAGACTGAGGGATTGTACTGGATTGAATGGTCTCTCCTCCCCAATCTATGTCTACCTGGAACCTCAGAAGGTGACCTTACTTGGGAACAGGGTCTTTGCAGACGTAATAGTTAAGATGAGGTCATACCCTATTAAGGTGGGCCTGGTATCCTAGTCAGAAGGTCATGTAGAGAGGAATCCAGGAAAGAAGGAGACAGAGATGGTAGCTATGCTGCCACAAACCAAGGAACACCAAGACTTGAAAACTCCTTTGCTGGGAAAGAGGCATAGACAGTTTCTTCCCCAGAGCACCCATGAAGAGCCAACTTTGCTGACTCCTTGATTTTGGACATTAGGTCTATTGAAATAGGATAGGATACATGTCTGCTGTTTTAAGCAAATCAGTTGTTGCTAAAATTATTACAGCATCTCTGGGACACTAATACAGAGAACATCATAAGGTTTAAATCTTATGACTTACTCTTGGTCTGTAAAGACCTTCTCATGAAAATATGTTCCATTAGAAGGCTGCCCTGCCCGCCCTCAACCTCTGTTGGTTCCACCCCCGCCTCTGTGCAACCCTCCACCCTTTTAAAGGACCTTTGAAAAGTCTATTGACACAACACTGTAAAATGATTATGAATCAATCAAAAATGTAAAAAAAAAAAGTTCATACCACTAATAATATGACAAAGTGATACTATGAGTCTCCAGTCTGATGCTCAGGACACATGATCGTTAATGGAGCGTTCCTGCCCGACAAGCACAGGCTGAGTGTAGTTATGCGGAAGCATGAGCAAACCCAAAAAGAGGAGCATTCTGCAAAATAACTGGTC